CTATGAGACCGGCAAACCTTGTAAGATTTTGAGTTTTGCTCCCTGGGGAGGATTTCCCCATAAGCAGCATGGTCCTGGACTCTTGCCAGACACCTCACCCCATGTAATCCTAGCTCTGCCTCCAACTGAGACCTGGGAACAAGGTCTAGGTTTTCTGGGCCTCCTGTCCTGCCAGGGGAAGAAGCTAACTTCTGCCTCACGAGCTGGAAAACATCTCAGAAACACCGGGCAGCAGGCTCAGGCTGGTGCCTGGCAAGCACTCAAGGCTCAACCTGACCCACGAGCCGAACAGGGTGGAACGGCGAACGGGAGGACACATGCCAACGTACGCACAGATCGGACAGAGGATGCTTCTGCACGCATATTTGCATACGCTGCAAATACATCCGTGAACAGAATACGACAAAGAGGATGCAAAGTTACGAAAGCTTCGTAGCCAAAACCAAAAGCCTTGAGAGAATGAGTCACTGGGCCGGGGGTTCAGGACCACAGTCTCGGGGGATGCCAAGATCAACTGGCATAAGCTAACTCACCAAGCCAACATTCTACGTCCTATTAGCGAATGACTAGGGTCTGAAAGTCTCAGGAGCAGCCATCTACAGTGCAACCACAGCCTCTCCCCACCCCAAGCAAAAAAGGAAGGAAAACCCCCAAGGAAATAATCATCTAAAGGACTAGTGGACCACATGAACCCCAGCTTCCACAGCCCTGAGACCACAAGATCTAGATGGGGCCCAGCTACCACTGACCACTCTGAAAGGGATCCCAACAGGAGGTCCCGAATAGAGTGGGAGAAAAACGTGGAAGAAAATCACAATCATTAAAAAAAAAAAAAAAAGGCCAGGCCTGCGGGTGTGATAGACTGGTGGAGTCCCGGGGACTATGGTCCTTAGACACCTAGACACCCTTCAGGGCTGAAGGCGAACTCAGCCCCATGACTCAACTTTCAACCAGACAACAGACAAGCCTATGGGGCGAACGGTAACACACAGCTCCGAAGGCAGGAAGGGAGAACGCAGGAAAGGGTAAACACGGGGAGGAAGGACGAAGAGTGCTCTTGCACCTGGGGATTGAGATCAATGTCAACAAGCAAAAGGTCTACAATCGGCTGAATGCAAAACCGATTGCTCTGTAAACTTCCACTCAAATCATTAAAAAAATTAAAAACACACAAAGGTAACAAAAATGGCCGGCCAATGTTCGAAGAATAAAAGGCCCAGGTCTTTAGTATCAGTTGCTCTGCTACCGAACGAGACAGCGGGCACCTGAGCGGGCGGGCGGGCGGTCTCCCCAGGCCACGCTCCCAGGCGGGGCACGCGGGCCAACACGGAATCACACAGGCACAGTCAGAGCCGCCGCGGACACGGAAGTGCTGCGGCCTCCCAGGCCCCTGTCCCCCTCCCCAAGGCTAGCCTGGGCTCAAAGGACAACGGCCGAGCCTGCCATTCACCCCCCACATAAGGCAGCCCGAGGAAAAACACCAGCCAGGAACGGGGCGGGGAGTGGGGACTTCGGTCCCAACGACCAAGAGGCCCGCGTTCCCCACACCTTCCCCGGACCTCAGCTCCCTCACTCCCGAAACGAAACGGCGAAGGGGAACCACGCAACAGACGGAGAAGCACTCCGCCGAGGCCGGCATTCTCGGAGTCCCGAGACAGGCGAGCGCGGCCGCGGGCTCGCTTCCGACCCCCCACCTGCACCCATCCTCGGCACCTGCCGGGAGCCGCCCACCCTCTACCCCACGGGCCAGGTCCCCCTGACACCTCCACGACCTCGGTCTCTGTACCTCCACATCGAGACAATTAACGAAGCCGGCCCTAGGGGCCCTGGTTCGGGACAGGCCAGGATTTGGGGTCCGGCTCCAGTCTCAAGTCGGGGAGAGCCCAGGAAAAGCAAACACCCCAAGATGCGATTGTCAGGACTGCCCGCACCCCGTGCACGTGGACGGACGCGCGTGGGAACAGCATTTAGAGTCGGAAAGTGCGTTCGCCTTCCCCCTTCTTTGGCAAAAGGACAGACATGAAGCACGTTCCCCCCAGCCGCCCCAAGCCCAATGACGGAGACACAGGCAACCCGTGCGGCGTCGCCTGCGAAACCGCGCACAAGGGACGCGCGAGGGACCTCCACGCGCCCCCGAGATAGCAAGCACGTGGGGCCCGCCACGCCGCGGCTCTGCCCCCATCCACGTGAAGGAAGCAATGGGGGTGTAGTAAGGCCTCACAACCGCCATTTTGGAAACAAAGGGGGCGTGGAGACAGGACCGTGGGCCCGACCGGAAGCGGAAGTGCCAAGGCAGCGGGAGTAAAAGCAGGGATTACCAGACCTCACCTAATCTCCTTCACGGAAAAAGGGCGTCGGGATAATGTGCGGGCTCGCGTCCCGGTCCCCCGCGCCGTCTCCGCCGGCGACCACGTGGGGCGCGGGGACAGGCGCCGCGGCGCGCATGCGTCACGGGCCCGCGCTCCACCGCCCCCTTACCCGCGCCGCGCGCGCGGCGGAACGCCGGCAGAGGTCACGTGGACCAGGCGCGCGCCGAGGAGCGGGGGGGGGAGGGTGGGGGATGGCGCCGCGCGGCACCGTGAGGAGGGGGGAAGAGAGGGGGAAAATGGCGGGGGGCGTAGAGGAAAGCTGAAAGCCGCCCCAACCGCCGCCCCTCATCCCCAGCGCACTCACCTTGTTTATTCTCGTTGAGCTGCCGCTCGAACTCGTCGAAGTCCGACATGCTGAGGCGGCCGCGTAGGGGCCTGTGCAGCTCTCGCCTCGCCTTGCCGCCCGCCCGCTCCGGCTGCTTCGGCTACTTCCGCCGCCTGCTTCGGCTACTTCCGGCCACCGCCGGCGCTTCACGGCCTCCTACCTAAGCAAGCCCGCGGCGCCCAGCCCCGCCCAGGCTCCGACCCCTCGCCCCGCCCGCCCGCCCGCCCGCCCGCGAGCTGCCCCTCCCCCCAGGGCCTTGCTCCGTAGGGGGCCGGGAGGCGGCGCCTTCGGCTTTGTCGAAAACACCCGAAGGCAGGTTTTCGTCAGCTTCCTAGGTCCTCGTAATATTTCGGAGATTGGCTCCTCAACGTTCGGATGTTTCCGTAGGTCCTCGCTTGCTTCCGCACCGAGCCCCTGCTAAGGTTTCGGCTTCTTCCGACAATTCAAACCGTCCCAAGAGTTGGCGTCTTCCAAAGATTCTTCCCACTCTTCTCCACCAGCCCTTTCCAAAAAATTGTCTATTTCCGATAATCCTAACCGTCCCAGAAGGTTCCCGGCACTCGTTCTCGGGCCCCTCCACAAATTTCAGCTCAATTCCAAGCTTCGGCTCCTTCCGGAGGTTCCACTCGCTCACGCCTCCCCTCTCGGAGAACTTCGGCTCCTTCCGCCACCGCTTCGGGAAAGCCTCACTCACGCGGAATCGCTTCGGTTTTTTCCGTCGCCGGTTCGGCTCCTTCCGACTTCGGAACTGAAAAGGGTGGGAGGACAGAGGCGAGGTGGGTCAGGGGAAGGGATAAGATAAGGGGCAGGGTCCCGGCACCTGGCTCTCTGGATGGGGAGAGCAGAGGAAAAGAAGGGCTGATCTCGCAGAAGGCCTAAGAAGGTTGCGCGAAACAAGCAGCCAGCAGGATGAAGGGTGCGCGCGGCCGCTGCGGAGGTTGCCAGCAAGGCTTTGTGCGCCTGCGCAGGGTGGCAGCGGAGGGGCACGAGACGGACTTCTGCGCCTGCGTAGAAATCGATCTTAGGTGAGGTTTCTCACTTCCCTGGGAGGGGCACGGGTTCCAGAATGTCCTACGCGCATGCGCGGGATTTTCCCTCGGTATCTTGAAGCTACGTAGTCTTCGACCGTTAAGCAAGCCCGCCCTCTCCTGGTTGTCTCAGCAACCGCGTTAGTGCGGTCGCGCTCTCGCTTTCCCTTCGGGCAGGCGCAGAAGGTGGCGAAGAACGCACTTCCAGGAGGCGGACGATTTGGAAACCAGCGCCCCATGGTGGGCGGGCGGGCGCATCTTCCCAGAGATTACCTGGTCCTCCTAGTAGCGTCCTAGGTTAGCGGTCACCGACTCCCGCCTGCTACCTCCGCACCTCCATCGCAAATAACTCAGCAGCGTTCACGCCTGTTTTCTGGATCTCTGCCGTTTCTCTTCCTCGGACCACAGTTGCCTCCCCCCCTCCCACCTCTGCCTGCAGGAGGCTAATTACACCCTGTCTTCCCTGTTTCCCGCCTGACCGCCAGCTCCCTGGAACCCACAGAGGCCCCGTCACCGTCTCCGTGGCAACAGCCACCCCCCCTCCCGACCATGTCCCCCTCCGAGCAAGAGGCTGGAGCCTAGTTTATTCCAAATTTTCTCATCTCTTTTAATTTAAATTCTCTGCATATTTGTCTGCCACACGTGGGATTGGGGCGGCCCCAAAACCGGGGTGGGAAGCTCCCGGCGGGGGAGGCCGGATCACGCCTGCCTCTCCCGGCGGCTCGCGGTGGACACGGGGTCTATACAGTCCCTCCAGCCCAGCGAGAGGGCGGCGCCGCGACCAGCCCCCAAAAGCCTTCCTTTTGCCAGGAGGACGGGGTCCCAGGGACGGCCGGGCGGGTGCAGCTCAAGTGGAAGGGTTTTCTTGGAGGGAGACGCCGGTGCTCGGGCCGGGGCAGAAGCGGGCCGAAACGGGCCCTGGGCAGCAGCTCGAGGGCCGGGCTAGTGAGCCCCCAGCTCCCAACCGGCGGGTCCGGAAGGGGAAGGGGAGGCTGCCAGGAATGTGGGAGCCACCCGGGGTCGGATCTATGTACATGGGGCCTGGCCGGAGAGCAGGGTCTGCGGGAGGAGAGGCCACACGTGCTCCCAGGCCCCGGGAGGGTCCCGCTGCCGTATCGCAGCCCCAGCGGCCTGGCACGCGCGGTCCCGTCACGCACGCGCACGCCCAGGGCTCCGGGAGGCCAGGGTCCCGCGCACGCGCTCTGGGGGCCTGAACGGTCTCCGCCATGCAGGCGCCCCCCAGGGCCCCGCGCGGGTGCCGCTCCCACGCACGCCCCCCCAGGGGGCGGGGAGGCTCCGGCTCCGCGCGCGTCCGGGGCGGGCGATCACCGCTTGAAGCGGTAGGTGATGGGCAGCAGCAGCTTGCTTTTCTTCAGGGCCTGCACTTTCTTGAGCGTCTCCTCGTCCAGGGCCAGGAAGCAGCGGCGTGAGTACTCGAGCAGGCGCTCCTTGGAGGGGTCGAACTCGCCCACCTCGGCCAGCTTCTCGGGCGCCACGATCAGCAGCTCGGCTATGGGCGTGGTCAGCGCCACCGTGTTGCGGTCCACGCGGTGGTGCTCGAAGGCCCGCGACATGCTCTTGAGCTTCTGGAAGGTGCCTAGGATCTTCTTGTAGCGGCAGAGGACGCCGTCGGCGTCCTTCACTGTGGGGCGGACGGACACACACAGAGGAAGTGGGGTCGGATGAAGGCCCCCAACACGAGGAGGTGGAAAGGAGGCGGCGGCGAGGGAACAGAGTCGCGTCACTCGGGACATGCCGCCTCCTGCCCAGGTCACCAGCCCTGGCCCCCACGCCCGGATCCTGCCGCGAGGCTGGAGTTCAGCTCAGTGATGGCCCACAACAGGGACACGGGCCTGGGAGGTCCCCGCCCTTCCAGGGAGCTCCTAACACGCCCCCTTCCTCCCGGTGAGAAAAGCCAGACTGGCGGCAAGGAGCAGGCCCTCGGTCACCCTGCTGGTGGGGACCCACCACATCAGGGCTGCGGACGTGGGACCAGGGGTGGGTGTTTGCAGATGGCGAAAATGAGGTCTGGGTGGAGAGGACGAGAGAACACCTCTGCACGGACCACACGGCGACTCCCTGCACCCCGCGCCCGCAGCCTCCACACCTGCACCCCTAGTACACATACACGCACAGCAAATCCCAGCCCAGAACCCCACAGGCACGCACACACTGAGGTACACTGTCACACACACTTTCATACATACTCCCATATACACACACATGCACCCATACATGTTCACACATACACAGTCATAAATACTCACGCACATATGCACACGCATGCACGTACACTGATACTAGCACACTCACATACACACACTCACCAAACAATACATATATGCACACACATGCTGTCACACAAATTCAGATACACAAATACCCAGGCACACACATACACACGCCTGCACACACGTTCTCAGCCCTGCGCGCACACACCCTTTCACATACACTCTCACTCCTGCACACACCCTACGTTCTCACCCCTACATACATAAGTCCCCATGCACACACCCCTGCACACACACACCCTCCCTTTCACATATGCTCTCACCTGTGTGCACACACTCACCCTTTCACACTCTCACGCCTACACACATGCTTTCACCCCTGCACACACCCTTGTGCACACTCACCCCTGCACAATGTGACCCTGTAGCTGCACACTCACCCTGCATGCACACATGCTCACCACTGTCCACACATACTTGCCCCATAGCCTCACACTCACCCTTGTGCACACAAACACCCCAGTCTACACACACTCACCTCATACCCTCGCATTCACCCGGTAGCCTCACACTCCTGCACACACTCACCCCTGCATGCACACATGCTCACCCTGTAGCCTCACACCCCTGCATGCACACACACCTCTGTCCATACCCATTCGTCCCATACCCTCACACCCCTGCACACACACACTCACCCTGTAGCCTCACTCTCCCGTGTGCACACGCTCACCCCTTAGCCTCATGCTCACTCCGTGCACACATGCTCACCCCACAGCCTCATGCTCACTCCGTGCACACATGCTCACCCCATAGCCTCATGTTCACCCCTGCACAGACATGCTTACCCTGTAGCCTCATGCTCACCCCTGTACACATACACCCCTGCACACAATCACACCTGCACACACATTCTAACCCCATAGCCTCGCACTCACCGTTGCACACACTCACTCCTGCACACAAACATACCCCTGCACATACCCCATAGCCTCACACTCCTGCACACACACCTCTGCACACACTCATTCCATAGCCTCGCACTCACCCCTGCACACACACGCTTCCCCTGCACACATGCTCACCCCTGTACATATGTTCACCCCTGAGCACACACACTCACTCCATAGCCTTACATTGCTGCACACACACTCACCCCTGCACACATGCTCACCCCTGTGCACATACTCCATAGCCTTGCACTCACCCTGCACACAGTCACATCCGTGAACACACACTCATCCCTGCATACACGCACTCCTGCAATCACCTCTGCACATTCTAACCCAATAGCCTCACACTCACCCTTGCACACACTTACCCCTGCACACAAACACACCCCTATACACACACTCACCCTGTAGCCTCACACCCCATGCACACACACGCTCACCCTTGCACACACTCACTTCATATCCTCCGCTCACCTCTGAGTACACACCCCTCTGCACACACTCATTCCATAGCCTTGCACTCACCCCTGCATACACACCCTCACCCCTGCACACATGTTCACTCCTGTACACATTCACTTACTCCATAGCCTCACACCCCTGCATATACATGCTCACCCCTGTGCACACACACCCTCAATAGCCTTACACTGCTGCACACACTCATCCCTGCACACACGCTCACCCCTGTGCACACTCCATAGCCTCGCACTCACCCCTGCACACACATGCTCACCCCTGTGCACACACCCCGTGCGCACACGCAGTCCATAGCCTCACACCCCTGCACACACGCTCACCCCTGCACACACATGCTCACCCTTCATACATGCTCACCCCTGTAAACACACTCACCTCATAAACACTCCATAGCCTTGCACTTATCCCTGCGTGAACACACGCTCACCCGTGTACACTCCACAGCCTCGCACTCACCCCTGCACACACACACAACCCTGCACTCACCCTGCAGCCTTGTCCTCACCCCTGCACACATACTCACCCGTGCACACACACACCCTGCAGCCTTGTCCTCACCCCTGCACACACACACCCGTGCACGCACACACACCCTGCAGCCTTGTCCTCATCCCTGCACGCACACACACCCCTGCACACACACTCATCCCTGCACTCACCCTGCCGCCTTGTCCTCACCGCTGCACACACTCACCCCTGCACACACACTCACCCGTGCACACACACACCCTGCAGCCTTGTCCTCACCCCTGCGCGCACACACTCACCCCTGCACACACTCTCCTCCCTGCACACACACAGACACACTCCTGCAGACACACCCTGCAGCCTTGTCCTCACCCCTGCACACACACTCACCCCTGCACTCACCCTGCAGCCTTGTCCTCACCCCTGCACAGACACACACTCACCCCGTTGCCTCTCCCGTGCCTTGGGCTTCCCAAAGCGCCTGCGGCCGGCGCCTGCCTTCTGTCTCTGCCTCCGCCTCTCGCTGGAGCTGCCTTCTTCAGAGCCTGCACTGAGGGAGGAGGCCGCCGACTCGGGGTCCGAGGCCTCAGCCCCAGCCCGGCTGTCACCCTCTGCCCTCCGCGGCCCGGGCTTCACCCGGCAGTGGTCCTCTAGGAAGACAAGGAGGGAGGTGCACACACGTCAACAGCGGGACCAGAGGGGCCACGCGCCCCTCCCACAGCCCCCAGGCCTGGGTGGGTCCCCAGAGGCCAGGGGGCCAGGTTGGGGAGGTGCTAGGCTTCCCAACACTGGGGTCCCCAGCAAGGGCTGTGGGGGCCGGAGGTGGATGCACGGCGCTTGGAGGGCGGATGCCGAGGGCCTTTCCATGCTCCTGCGTGGACTGGGACCGGGGCGGGGCATGGGCGGGGCAATTCGCAGCGACTGCAGGTTCCCAGCAGCGAGGCCAGTGGGCCTGGGAGAGCGGACAGCCCACACGTCCAGGGAAGGGGGCTAAACAGAGCGGGGGACCTGGGGATGGTATTGCAGGGGCTTTCCAGGGACCTGGGTGGGACTAACGGAAGAATGAGATGTAGGATCACGGGGAGCAGCTGAGGCCGCCTGAGGGGGGTGGGGCGAGTACTGAGACCCCAGCTCTCTGGGTGTGGTGGGCTGAGCAAGGCCACTGCCTCCATCTGGCTCTCCCCAGGGACCCCTGTGGGAGCAGGCCTGGGCAGAGAGGTCTGGTACTGGAGTTCCCAGCAAGGCAGCCCAGGGGCCCCTGGCACCAACCATCAGGGAAATGGCCCCAGCTCGGGGTGGTCGGGACGGCGGGACAGCCGGGTTCCCAGATACCGGGCTCCCTGACGGCACAGGGCTAAAAGCCACGTGCCTCTCTCGCATGCTTTTGGGGGACAAGTGGGATTAACAAGGATGTGGGGGTTTTAAGGGGCCTCACAAGAGGGCCCACTGGGCTTGAACATGCCAGAGGGGCGGTGTTTGAAGGACAGATCTCCTATGTGGGCTGAAGACCCGGCAGAGGAAAGCCCCTTCGGGTGGCTCCGACCTCCAGATGCAGTGCCGGGCCCAGCAACGGGAGAGGCCTCACACCGGCCCAGCCTGGGGTGGGGGCCCTGGACATCAGGCGGGGAAGCCGGGCTGGCGTTCCAAGGGTGGGTGGTGTTGGGGGTCGTCCAGTCCATTCTGACTCGTGGCAGCTCCGTGCACCTGAGCACAACTGCCCACAGGGTAACCTCTGCCGGGCAGGTCGCTGGGCCTTTCTCCCACAGAGCTGCTGGGGGTGTTGAACCAACAACTCTTCGGCTAGCAGCTGACTGAGCACTTAACCTTTGTGCCACCAGGCCTCCTTAGGGGCAGCTGCTGCTGGTGGTGGAACATGCCCTCAGTGCATTCTGACCCACAGCGCCCCTAGAGGACAGAGTGGAACTGCCCACAGGGTCTCCAAGGCTGTCAATCTTCACAGAAGCAAAGCCCAAACCACACCCACTGCCTTGGATTTGATTCTGACCCACAGCGCCCCTAGAGGACAGAGTGGAACTGCCCCACCAGGGTCTCCAAGGCTGTCAGTCTTTTTTTTTTTTTTTTTTTTTTGCCATCTAGTTCTTGGGGTCTCAGGGTGGTGGAGGCTGGAGTCCACATTCCAAGGCTGTCAATCTTTACTGTGGCAGACTGCCAAGTCTTTCTCCCATGAGTTACTGGGGGGTCTAAACCTTTCAGTCAGCACTGAGTGCTTAACCTTTGTGACACTAGGGCTCCTTCGAAGGGTTGCTACTGGTCACAAATTAGGCAGGGAAAGGGGGGCGTGCGGGAAACAGCGAGAAAGCAGGTAGGGTTTGGGAACCAACAGGCCGAGGTTACCCAATGAAAGCCTTCAGCAACGCAGAAGAGGAAAGGGCTGAACCCACCGGGACAGGCTTAGGGTCTTCGATCGGGCAGGAGCTCCAATTAGCCAGGGAGCCGACAGGAAGTGCCTACGTGGCGCAAGCAGCTGCCATGCTCACTGTGAACTGAGAGGCTGCAGGTTCGAGTCCAGCCAAAGGGGCCTTGCAGGAAAGGCCTGGATCTATTTCTGGAAGGTCGGCCATTGAGTGCGCAGCGTAGCCCTACTCTGACACGCATGGGGCCGCCGCAAATTGGGACCAACTCCACAGTCACCAGTCGGTTGGAGTAGTCAGACTGAATGGGAGACGGGTCCTTTGAGGACCCAGTGGGAATGGGATGGGGTTTGAGGAGGCTAGCTGTTTGGACTGAACAGACAGCCTCTCCCAACCTCCTGCCCTAAGAGACCAGCACGACCACGAAGGATGGTACCCCCAAGGAGTCGGGACCAGGGAACTCAAGGGCAGCATGGCCTCTCAGGTCCAGAGTCCCTGGGGGAGTGTGCCAGGGCCCCGCGGGGGCTGTCATCACCTGCCCTCAAGTCAGCCCCCGACCACAGTGACCCCCACACAGCGGGATCGGGCCGTCGGGCTCCATGCGGTCTGTCAGTGGCTGCTCTTCGGATGGGGGTTGCCAGGCCTTTCTTCCGACTCGGCCTTCGCCTGGCAGCACCACTGAAATCTGTTCAGTGTCCTGGCAGCACAGAGCCCCCAGACGGCTGGTGGCTGCCCAGGACGTGAGGGGCCAGGAGGCGGGTGGGGAGAAGAAGCCTTGGACATCAGGCGGGGCTGGCCGCGACGCCCCCCACCTGCGTCCATGCGAGCCGAGGAGATGAACTTGTCCAGCTGGCACCGCAGGAAGTCCCTCTCCTCCTCCAGGTCCTCGATGCGCTTCTGCAGCCAGGAGTTTCTCTCCAGGGCCATGTGCAGCTGGGCCTTGACGCCACTCATCAGGGCCAGCGCCGGCGACGCGGCCTCGGGGGGCTCTAGGGAGACCGCAGCAGCGGAGCCTCAGCGCCCGGACTCGGGGGGCCGCCCCCCCCAGCCCCGCCCCCACGCGCAGCTCACCCTCCAAGTTGCCCCCAGAGGGGCTCAGACTGTAGAAGAGCTGCGGGTCTAGGTGGGCCGTCTGCTCGAAGGGGATGGGGATCCCGACGGCCTCGTCGTCCTTCTTCACTGCAGAGCAGAGGCGGGGGCTCACACCCCACACCAGGCCCCGGCCCCAGACAAGCCCCCCGCCGCAGCCCGGGGAGGGGAGGGCAGGGGCGGTTCCTCACTTGTCCTGCGCCGGCTTCGCTGGCTCATGGCAGGGCTGGCCCGCGGACTGCGCAGCAGGGCGCCTCAGGGGCACTGGGCAGAAGGAGCCAGAGGTGGAGGGGCCCGGCTGCAGGCCTGGGGCCTCCACTCCTCGGGGTGACAGGGGGGTCCTGAGGGTGCGGCTGCGGAGGGAGGGGGCGCTGGGGACCCGGGCGCCTGGCCCTGAGGAAGGAGGTAGGAGACCCCAGATTCCCGGTCGGGACTCCTGCATCTGAGGGAGGAGGGTAGGGGAACCGGGACACCTAGGTCCCGCGCGTGAAGTGGACCGGGCACTTAGAGTGCAGTGTCCAGGGGAGACGGGCCCGGGGCCCTACATTTCTGGGATCCCCGTGGGTTCTGCAGAGCAGGGTACCCCGGCCTGAACAGGAAGGCTCCACATCGCGGGTCACCTCCGTGAGGGGTGCAGGGGAGCAAGTGTGCCCCAACTTCCAGGCTCGCAGGGGGGTCCGCCCACGCGAGGCGGCCCCACGCCCCTCCCCCGCACTCGAGCGAGCAGAGCCCTCCCCCGCTGCAGGGGGCCTGGCGCGTGCGCGCTGCGCGGGAAGGTCACGCGTGGGG